TCTCCAAAGGGCTTGCGGAGTCAGGCTGCGGGCAGAGCTGGGTCTCCATACCCCCCCTGTGCCAGCCACTGGTCTGGCCAGGGCTACCTCTGCAGCCCTGATACTCCAGTGGCCCTTGAGGGATCTCTGGGGTACAGAACAAACATCTTCCTGCAGTGTGAAAGCACAGCCTGAGCAACAAGCCATGTCCTTCTGCAAGGCTGATGAACCATGGAGCAAGCCCTGCCTCTGCCTTCCTCCTCAGCCAGACAGGGACTGAAGAGCACGCATTCAGAGCTACAGCCCAGCCCACCTTTTTCGTTTGTTGTTTTATAAGAGAAGAGATGCCTCCACTCACCCCAAAGTGAGCCCTGGCTGGAAGTACCTGGGCAGCTGTTCCCACAGGGAACACAGCACAGTGAGCACCCAGGTGCTGGGTGGGCACAGCGTCATTGCACAAACTTCCAAGGGGCCACTCTTGATCTGTCTCTTACCAGAGAGAGCGCACTCATGCCTGTTTCTGGTTTTTAACCTTTCAGCTGAGGAAGGAGCTGTGCCAAAGCAGGTCTCTCTGGGGTAAGAATAGCACCTGTCGTCTTAGGACACAACACAGTTGTCCAGCTCCTGCATGGCAGCACGTTGTGCTGAGATATAGAAGGCAACCCACCCGCCAAGGAATGTCTTCAAGTGCTATTAGTGGAAGCAGATCATCTCCACAAACAGGCATGACCCCGTGCAGGAGTCTTCCAAGAGCAGGACTATTCTGAGCTTCTGACACTGAGGATGAAGGGAAACACATGACAGGCCGATCCTCCTGGCATGGGCCACCTCCAAAGCTCTGTGCAGCCCTGTCTCCTCCCGTGGGAATGGCTCTTGGGAAGGCTGATGGGTGGATTTGTGGGACCTCAGAGCCCAGGAGGAGGGGTCCAGGAGGGAGCTGGGAATTTGCTGGGGACACAAGGCCGAGCCTCAGCCTGTCAGCACTGCCCAGCCATGCTTATGGCAAGTCCTGCACGAAGATGTGTACCTGTCCCTGAGCTTTGGGCACATGGCTGCCTGCTTCATTTTCAACCCCATCCATGAAAGTTACACAAAACCAGAGGCTGTGTAACTGCATGCAGGTGAAATACACAGGAGGCTACAGGAAGAAACAGTCAACTTTTCAAAACAGAGTCTGGAAGGTCAGAAGAAACAGTCATACTTGTCATGAAAGAGCTGCTTCTTCAGTGACTTGCCTGTTCTTTCCCACCAATGCCCTTTATGACAGTGGCTTTATAGACGTCAACAGAGAAATTATCCAGGTATTACACTTACCAGTGTCACCAGGAGGCATTCCTCTTCAAGCCTGACACCTTTTCTCTTCCATGTTCCTGTCTCTGCTGGCTGCATTCCTTCATGCTGATCACACATCCTTAAATTTCCACGATGGAGGGACTGCAGAGCAAAGGATAATGCAGGGCCTGTAAAACAGGATTTCAGAGGGCCTCAGAAGCTTATGCTTGTACAAGCCATTACAGATAAGAGGGGTACTTTTAGCTCTTGCGTATCATCTTGACTCTACCCAGCCCCACGTGAAGCTCTTGGAGATGCCTAGAGGTGGGGCTAGAGATTCTCGGTGTGACCTAGAGGAGCAGTTAGCTCATAGGTGGGTTTGGGCAGGCAGTCTCCCACGAGAGACCTGGCTGGTGGTAGACAAATTCACTCTGCCAAGCAAGAGCAAGGCTGCAGGGAATGAGGAGGGATAAACAAAGTTGGGCATCTGTTTCTGAACACTTTATGCTAGTGTTCAGCAGATAAAGGTGCAAAGCTGTGAACTGTCACCAGCTTTTAACATCAGTATATACCTTGGCCTCTGCTCCTGAGTCTGCTGCTTCTTTCCTTTTAGTGCCAGCTGCACTTCACTCCTCAGTTGCTGTTAAAAGTGTTTCTCATTCCCTCCATACTGGTTGCATCAAGAGCTCCTGCAGCCTGGAATCAGCTGGGGTGCCTGGCAGTGAATGCTTCAGACGGGCAGAGCTGCAACAGTGGGTGCAAATCGGTAAGCTGACATTGCCGAAAGTATTTCCAAATTAACTGAACAGCTCCCATTTGCTGCTAACCTGTGGATGATGCACTGTATGTTCTATGAAAACATCATCTTAGGCAGACATTTGATGGGTTTGTCTATAACATACCTTGGCACTGTGCCTGTGTCCTTCACCCAGATTAGAGGCGAGGTTTAATGCATCAGAATAATCCAGTTGATACAGCTGATCAAGCATATGAGACACCACAGTTGCACGTGCACACTGTGCCTCTGCTGTTCAGACCATGGTCTGAATGAAGGAAAAAATGTATAACTATTTCCCCCTTCCCTTCTTCTCCAGAATATATTGTCTCTTTAGCCAGTAGGTAGGCCAGAAGCAAGGTAAGGTATGTGAGAAAGGAATAGAGGTGATGTGTTGAGGAGGATGCTGGTGCCATGCAGTGCCCAAAGGGACAGTCCTTCAGCATGTGGCCCCATCCAATGCTCGGTGCTTTGTCCACTGCAGACAAACTAAGAGCAGGTGGTGGGAGCAGCTGAGGGGATCTCAAGTAAGAGTGGCACAACTTAGGGGCACTATCAATGTGTTCTGACAGTGCTCTGTGTGCACAAAATCCTCTCTGCCAAGGATATGTCGGTCGTTCACGGTGCACTGCACTGGAACTCTGTGTAGTGTTTGTGACTGCCAGGATCACAGGCAAAAGCAGGGAAAGGAAAAAGGAAACGGAGCCGTCTCTCTTGCCTTTCACATGGGAAGCAAGCTATGATGAAAGGACAATGGGAGAAGCATTATGGCTATGTGAGGGCAGGAGCAGGGCAAGGAGCTGGTGGAGATGGAAGAGAGCACAGGCTGGACTATCAGTAGCCTCCACAGGAATGGCTAGCCTCCAAGTTTGTGGGTCCTTAATGGAGAGTTTGCATTAGCTTCTCCCTTCCCCCAGCCAGGGAAAGTGAGAAAACTTGTTCTGCAATGCAGTATCCCAAGCTTGATCAGATAAAAAGAAATGAAAACAAAGGCAGCACCATTTATAGTGTGCATGCAGAGGAATCTACGGTCTTTATTCTCTAGACATTAAGGTGAGTACAAAGACTCATTGCAGAAGAAAGCGACCGAGAGGTTCACATTTTGTGCAGCTCTCAGGTCACTTCGTTGCCTCATGACAGCCTCACTCTTCCTCTTCTATCCTCCTATGGAAATCCCGGCTCTTGGCTCGGGGCTTGTTTACCTTGTGCTCTGCTTTTCGCGGCTTCCTCCAGCTCATGCTGGATCTTGCGGAACTTGGAGAGGTTGACATTGGACAGCTCCTCCTGTGCAGGGAGAGGGAGTTAGTGGTGAGGAGCCCAGGGCAGGGGATTCATTCCTGCTGCACCTCAGCCTTGTGGGACTGCAGGTCTTTGCTGAGGGAAGGCACAAATCTCCATCCCCCACCCACGCTGCTCACACATAAGCCTCACACAGACTTCCTCATCCTCCCCTTTTTAGCAGATACATTCTAGACTGAGCACAACAGACTTTGAACAGAATTCTGCTCTGCAGTGTGGGAAGAAAACAAACCAGGCAGATGGAAATCAGATTTTCTTAGCTCTGAAATTAAATGTTCAGCTACCTCTGTGGACCCTCAGATGGGGCTAGGAATTTGTAAGAGCCCCTGATATCTCCTCAGTGTCCCTCTCATGAATTGCATCAGTGTCCCTTTGACTCCAGAAACCCTTATCCATAGTGGACTGTTTGCAACAGCAAATGAGCGATGCTGAGACATTCATAAATTCAAGGGCTGCAGGGCTTCCCTCAGGTCATCCCTGCATGCTGAGAAAAGGGCAAAGGCTCCTTGCACAATTCTAAATGTAGTGCTCAGTGTGGTTTATGGGTATACTTCAGACACCTTCTCTATCTGCTGAAATTGCTATGGCCATATCCAAAATGTGGAATTCCCTGTGGTAGATGAGCATACAGTGAATCAGAAGGATTTTTTATGCGAAGTTTTCTGTGTTCCTAGGCATAGAACTCTGGAGTTTTGGCAAGTCCTTTGCTTTGTAATAACTAGCAAGCTCCTCCGAATTCCAGGGTCACAGTCATCTTTCATAAGGTTATTTATATAAATTTCAAATCTACTTCAGTTCTAATGCAAAAAAAAACAACTGGCCTTCTTATTTGCTCACTGATTTCATTCTCAAAGGCTAGGCTACTGTATAAGCATTTCACTGAACTTGTAGAACTCCATTATTGACCACTTTCCAAGTTTCCTGTATTTATCTCCTCAGTGACCATTCTACCCACTTATAAAGTGTTTCTCGCCATGCACTGAGAGTGATACTTACAGCCTCTTCAGATTGTCTCTTGTAGGATTTCACCTTCATTTGCAACTTGTCCACCAGATCCTGGAGCCTGAGAATATTCTTCCGGTCTTCCGCAGACTAAAAGAGTTGGAAAACAGCAGAGTGAATTGGTTTCCCCACACATATGTTAGCAATTCCCCTTGGCAATCAGGTGCAAAAATTTTGACTTCCTGCAAGAGTGTGTGTGAGCCGAAGGACACTTCCTGCCTTACCTGGTAGGTCAGCTCCTTCACCCTCCTCTCATATTTGCGCATACCCTTCACAGCTTCAGCGCTGCGCTTCTGCTCAGCATCAACCTCCCCTTCCAGCTCCCGCACCTGCAATCACAAGCCCATCTTTGGAGCTTCCTGGTATCTCTCCAAGGCACATGCTCACTCTTGCACTAATACCAGCCCTACGCACTCTGGCCTCCAGCTTCTGGATTTGCTTCTTGCCTCCCTTCAGTGCCAACTGCTCAGCCTCATCCAGACGGAGCTGCAGGTCCTTCACCGTCTGGTCCAGGTTCTTCTTCATCCTCTCCAGGTGGGCGCTGGTGTCCTGCTCCTTCTTCAGCTCTTCTGCCATCATGGCCGCCTGATGAGAGCAAAGGGTCAAAGCCATTTTGGGGCTGGAGACATTCTGGGGGAGAATACATCCACCATCAGCAGTGAAAGGAGCCCCTGACTCACATCTGTGACGGCCTTCTTGGCCTTCTCTGCAGCATTGCGGGCTTCCTGGATGGTATCCTCCATCTCACCCTGAATTTGGGCAATGTCTGTTTCCAGCTTCTTCTTGGTATTGATCAAGCTGGTGTTCTGCATAAAGACAAATGGCAAGATTTTTAGTATAAAGCCTGCAATATGAAACCTACAGCATCAGCCAAGTTTTTTCAAGCCTGCATTTCAGAATCTTTGAATTGCAAAGAATTTGGAATTCTTTGTAAAATGGTTGTTTACAAAATGTCAGTGGTGGCTTCAAGTGATAGCTGTGAAGAGCAGTAGACAGCCCATTCCAGTACTCCCTATCCTCTGGTATAGAGCAGCACTCTGTGTTTGGTAAGTGTCAACACAACTGCTTTTACGCCACGCCC